GTCCACGACCAGCACGACACCAGGGTTGGCGACCTGAATCTGCTCGACCGCGTTCTTGAACCCGACCTCAACGGCCTCCAGACAATCGCTCTCCAACACCCGGATACGGGCGATCAAGTCAGCACGGGTGATTAACCGTCGATCCCCGTCAGTCTCGTCCTCGGCCGGACGAACAGCGCTGTCCAAAACCTCCGTGCGAACCTTCAGCGCCTGCACCTCGGCCGTCGCTATCCCCAGCTTCTCCTCCAGCGAAGTCACCTTCCCCTCAGCACCCTCTGCCCGTTTCCGCTGCTCAGCAACATCCTTCTGGCTCTTCTCCAACTCCTCAGTGAGCTTGGCCAACCGCGACTTCGTGAAAGTGAGATCCCCTTGCAGTTTGGACAGCTCAGCAGCGGAGCAGCCCTCCTCGTTCAGCACGAGAGCCGTCGTAAACGTCCACATCATTGCGGCCAAGTCCTCAGCCAGGACACGTCGACGGGTCTCCCGATCAGCCTGACGAACAGCCTTCACCTCCCCGACGGAAACAGTGGGGGAACGGGCACCATGAAAATATCCCGGATGCTGGTGGCAGGGAGGGACGACATAACCTTCCTCGACGGCGCCGACCGTCAGATCCACCACCCGAGGCTCCTCGGACCTTTGCCTCTTCGACACTCCTTAATGACATAGGGTAGCCGCCCCTACGACCGCTTAGCACAAGACACGTGGCGGCAGCCTGACAGTCGCGTCCCTTCACCTGCCTCCTCCCCGTTCTGCCGACGACCGGAGACCTTCGTGCGGTGCCCGCGCCAGATGCGACGACCTTAAGTCCTCGCTCTTCCCCAGAGCTTCGACTTGGGGGGCTCCTGTTCCGGTATGGGCCTCACCTCGGCAGGCCCAATACCGCATGCGGCCCAACAAGCGAACCGGGCACGCCAGGCACGCGCCCCTTCGAGACGAGCAGGGGCAGGCCGCCGAGCACAAGCTACGTCTCCATACCCTTTTTGTCGTCCACCTCGCCGGACGAGCAGGACCACCCGGGCTCCCCTCCGCGGGGAGAATAACGTGCTCGGCGCACGTTCTCCACGTGCTCCCCTCCGCGGGGACACGTCACCGACCAGCTGCCCACCTCCGAAAGAGCAGGTCAAACCCACTTTCCGGGGATCTAGGGGCAGTTGAACTAGGGCGAAGACCACGTCCTGGTCTTCACTACGCCACGTAAGCCCTAGCAGTCATTAGGGTTGGGCCTGGTCATCCAGCCCACCTCGAATGACCGTTGGCCCAGCGCTGGGGTCTCTCTATAAATACCCTATTCGTCAAGAGGGTCAGGTAACTCTTCTTGCCCCTTTTTTCTGTACTATTGCTTCCTCTCTGTCCAACTTCTTACTTGGGCTTCGGAGTCCAACTTCTTACTTGGGCGTCGGAGTGCTTTGCAGGTACACCCCCCTCCTCTTTCTCACCCCGGCGAACAGATAACAGCCCAACGGAGTGTGGCCAGTCCGTGATCCCTCCTGATCAGGTCAGATCAAAATATATATCATAACTACCTCCAAATAAAGTCTTCTAACAACCAATTCAACAAATAATTAATTAATAGAATAACCAATTTGTATAAAATTGCAAATATAAAAGACAAAATATAATCTTTAAAAAATAAAAGATTAAAATCACTTTTGAACAAAAGATAATGATCAAAAATATAATTTAGCTAAACTTTAATAATTCTATTAATATTTCGAGTTTTAAATTACTTAACGTACTTAAAGAGTATTTATGTGACGACTAGCTATTACTCGTCCTATATCTCAAAACTAGAAAGGGTATGTATAATGGCAATAATACTATTACACTACAATAAAAGCTTTGACTCAATGAGGTTATATCTACTTGTTGTTTGCGTGAGGAAGTGAAAAAACTAAAAACTTTAGGAATCTTGGATGAACACAACAGTGATGAGAAAATTTCAAAGTACATACATATAATAATACAAATACAATATAATTGACATATTATATTATTTATTTTATGTACAAAAAAATGATAGTGGAGGAAATGAAAGTGAAAAAGAGAAATGGGATGTGTTTTTGTAGTATTGTAAGTGAGATGTAGTTGGGCTCCATTTTGAGTGTGGTCCCTATAATAGTCTGAATTTTGAAGTTAATAATTTATAATATGTAATGGAATTTTTCTAAATTTAATAATAAATAATAAGTTTTAATTTTGGAGTGAAGAATTAAGAAACAATGAATGTTGGTAAAGGGGTGATTGAGAGAGGGATTTGTATTTTGTAGGTTGGTCTTAGCTGGTTTCTGCTATACTAATGTTAGGGTTGATTTTGATGTTAATGTGGGACCCACAACCAGTTATTGTTTGCCACGTGGTGTGGGGCCTACTTTGTTTGGAGGGACTGTGAGTTTTCTTTCTCTCATTTTGACAGAATTGCTATTTTGTAATTATTATTAAATTCCTCTTTCTATATAAATGTGTTTAATTTTTTAAAACTTTTTTAGATAAATTAACAGTAGTAATAAAAATATATTTAAAAAAGAGTAATTGAATTAAAATACTTATATAGAGTTTTATTAAGTTTAAGGAAAAATAAAATCTGAAAAATATTGTAATTAGGAAAGGAGGAAGTAAATGCTAGCATGAATATGTTTTTTGGTTGTCTATTCTTTTTCCAAATGGTTATTATTATAAAATATAAAAAAAATAAAGAAATAAAGATCAATTCTATAGGAGAAGTAAATTTGAGAAATTAACTAACTAATAAACTAACAAACTAATTTATAACCAACTAACTAACGAATTTATAACAAATTTTAATTAACGAACAAACTAATTAACTAATTTATAACTAACAAACTAACTAATAAACTAACAAACTAAATTATAATATATTAACTAACTAATTTATAACAAATTTTAACTAACTAACAAACTAATTAACTAATTTATATCAAACTAATTAACTAACAAACTAATTTGTAACAAACTAACCAACTAATAAACTAACAAACTAATTTATAACAAAAAAACTAACTAATTTATAACAAATTTTAATTAACTAACAAACTAATTATAACTAATTTATAACAAACTAACTCACTAATAAACTAACAAATTAACTTATAACTAACTAACTAACTAATTTATAACAAATTTTAACTAATTAACTAATTTATAACAAACTAATTAACTAACAAACTAACTTATAACAAACTAACTAACTAATAAACTAACAAACTAATTTATAACAAACTAACTAACTAATTTATAACAAACTTTAACTAACTAATTAAATAACTAATTTATAGCAAACTAATTAACTAACAACTAATTTATAATAAACTTAATTATTTTTAAAATGAGATATAGGTTGATTTTGAAAATTCGTTAGTAATTTATCTAACATTCAATAAATATTTATCACACTTTGAAAGTGGGATCCATCGTATGAAAAAATATATATTTTTAAAGCAACTCATTAGGTTGTAACAACACAAACATTTTTTATTTAACTTCTAAATTTATTTTGTGGTAACTTTTATAGGATGTTGAATAAGTTATCCACACAAAAAATTGGAAAAAAAAAAGTATTTCTAATTCAAAAGCTTAGATTTAATTTGTTAATATTATATTAAGAATTTTTTCCGCTGATTTGTTGATATTACTTTAAGAATTTTTTCCGCTAAATCTAAAAAATATTATTTATAATCAAGATTTGGTTGTTGTCACATTTCAACTGTGGAGAAAATCCATTTAGCTTTTCTAGAACTACTCTACGAATCACCCTATTCAGCCTATTCATAAAATTTAGCAACCTAGGTGGATTATTACTACTAATACATTAATTAGTGCTAGTATTAGTAATAATCTCCATTGTTTTATCAAAAGATTCTTGTGTGACAGTCTCATTTTCCTTTTCACCGCATCTACATTAACTTGTTCCCAAGCATGGTATATTTTATTTCCTCTAACAAAATAAAAAGCATATTATATTATTTATTTATTTATTTTGAACTACAATGTGAAAATCGAAATTATATTTGAAATTTTTTTTTAAAAAATAATTGGAAGGTTTTTGAAATAAAATTAATTTTATTCTGTTCTTTGTGATTTAGGAGGAATTAGAAAAATGAACCTTCATTATGTATTTTCACTAGTTAGGAAATTAAGGTGAAAAATAATAAATGAGTATTAATTGTGGGGCGCAAGAAAATGAAATTCATTGAGTGTATAAAATGTATTAATTTATTATTATAACACATAAATAAATAAATAAAAAGGAAAGAGTTTATCTAGTTTGTTAAAATAATTAAGAAAAATGACAAGTGGCTAAGAAAATTAAGAAATGACAGAGAATGAGAAAATTGGCTTTAGCCACAAGGTTGTGTAGAGAATGTGGATGACACTTGTTAAAACAAAAAATAAATAAATAAAATAAAAAATAAAAATAAAAAAATAATTATATAGAGTTTGAATAGAAAATTGATAACACTACAATAGTCTACCGAAAAAAAAGAAACAGTAACTGTTCACATTGAAAGAAAAAACAAAAAACAAAATATTAAATAATTAAACAAAACGAAAAATAAGGAAAAATAAAAATTAATTAGTCTAATTTAAAAAAAAATTGAAGAGAAGGAAGAGAAATGTGTCTCGTGAAGCAGCAGGTGAAGAGAGAAAATAAAAGCTCAGTCTTTTTCTTGATTTCTCTTCTTCCTTCTTCTTTCTCTCTCTACATTCTTGTTTCTCTCTCTAAAAAGAAACTTTCTCTCTCTAACTCTTCCAACAACACTCACTCGCATTCCTCCTTTTATATCACGAGATCCCCATCACTTTCTCTCTCTAAACTTTCATGTCTTCTTCAACAAACCCATTTTTCACTACTCACTGTACTTTCATTCAAACACATTGTTAACTCACACACACTGGGTTTTAGAGAGAGAAAGAGTTAGTTACAGTTTCTTTCTCTCTCAAAAACGATTGAATCTTTCAACAACCTTTCTTGAAGAAAAATGTCGCGTTCGCCGGGAAATTCCAAACCCGATGCTATTGGGACGGGCAAAATTGCCGATCGGTTTCGTGAAGCGGTGATTTTGGAAGCGAATAAACCGGATTTACTTCGTCAACGTGATCATGGTTCACCGGTTTCGCCATTGAGGACTACGGGTGGAGGACCGGCGGTTAGTAGTAGTTCGGGTTCTTCTGGATCTTTCTCTGGTAAAACCGGGTCTAAACCGGTTTCTAAGAAGTCAAGTTCGGCACCGATTCATAGCAGTAACTCCGGTGAGCTTTCTGGTTCTAGTGATAACAGTCCAACCGCGAGTAGATCCGGAGGGAATGTGAGAGCTTCGAAATTGAAAGCTGGGGATTCAAGATCCAATTCAGGATCCGGAGCGACTCCGAAGAAACATTCTGGTCAAACTGTGAACTCTCCGCCGTTGAATGTTCTTCCGGCGGGGAATATTTGTCCATCTGGAAAGGTCATTAATACCGGCATGGCTAACAAGAATACAAAGAGTGATGTTCTTGGTTACGGAACTGGGAACTATGGTCACGGTAGCATAATGCGCGGTGGCGCCGGGAGAGTTGATACGAGTAGCACGAGGGCTGGCATTGGGAGTGATTCGGGGAAAAGAGGTGTGGAAAGTGTGGATCCAGAACAGCTCAAGTTAGTAGGGAATGAGCATTACAAGAGGGGTGAATTTTCGGAGGCATTGAGTTTTTATGACCGTGCAGTAGCTTCTTTGCCGAGGAGTGCTTCTTACCGGAGCAACCGCGCCGCCGCGTTGATCGGTTTGGGAAGACTATCTGAAGCTGTGAGGGAATGCCAGCAGGCACTTAATTTCGATCCTGATTATGATAGGGCTCATCATCGTTTGGCTTCTCTATTCATCAGGTGAGTGAGTAGTCATTGATTCTTTAACAATTTTGTGGATCTAGGTCATTATATTGGTGGTTCTTGAATCATCTTGTTAGTGTTTTATGTTAGTTTTGATGTAATTTTGAAGTTTAGTGTTTTTTGTTCGTTGTTTTGCTTCTGTTGAAATTGAAATCTGAATCTTTTACTTGTTAATTTGGATGGCATTGTGAAGATTGATGATTTGATTGAATTTGCATTCATTGATGATGCATTTACGGAATGGTGTTGATTATAGAAGTGGTGGTGTCACAGGTTAGGACAAGTTGAGAATGCTAGGAGACACCTTTGTCATCCTGGATTGACTCCGAATCCGACCGAGATGCTCAAGTTGCAACTGGTGGATAAGCATATTACTAAGTGTACAGGTGTTAGGAGGGTAGGGGATTGGAAAAGTGTTCTGAGGGAACTTGATGGTGCTTCTACTGCTGGAGCTGATGCTTCTCCTCAGGTATTATTGCTGTTTTTTGTTTTTTTCTTTCTTTCTGATGTGATATATTTTAGTTGAATATGTTATAAATGGAAATGTGTATGAAATGAAATATCTGAACTTTGTTGGAAATTGAATGTACAGCTCTTTATGTGTAGAGCAGAAGCCCTTTTGCAACTTCGTCAAATTGACGATGCAGAATCAGTTTTGTCACATGCTCCGAAATCGGATCCACAAATTAATAATACACCTTTTGAAGCTATATTTTTTGGGATGTTTGCTGAAGCTTATTCCAACTATGTCAGATCTCAGATTGAGATGGCATTGGGAAGGTGAGTTTAACACAGCACTATTGGTATTTCTAGCCTTCATTGAAAAATTCTAAGTTGTCAATGGTTTCTGTTGGAGTGTGAATAATTGATGATTGATGTATTGCAGGTTTGAGAATGCAGTTACATCTATTGAGAAGGCAAATAAAATCGACCCCCAAAATATTGAAATTGCTGTTATGCTTAACAATGTAAGGAAAGTGGCAAGAGCTCGAACTCGTGGCAATGATCTTTTCAAATCTGAGCGGTTCACTGAAGCTTCCTCAGCATATGGAGATGGTTTGAAATTAGACCCTACAAATTCTGTTCTGTATTGCAATAGAGCAGCATGTTGGTATAAGCTTGGTCTATGGCAAAAATCAGTTGAAGACTCTAACCAAGCTTTACATTACCAACCAAATTATACAAAAGCTCTTCTTCGAAGGGCTACATCATATAACAAGGTAAATTGGCTTTGCTGGTTTTTATGATAGACTGCTGTGAAGAAGTTTAGAGACTTCATTTTCTTAACCTCCTTTTTTAAATGCAGCTACAAAAGTGGGAAGAAGCGGTTAAAGATTACGAGGTCTTGCGAAAAGAACTTCCAAACGACAATGATGTTGCTGAAGCTCATTTTCATGCACATGTTTCACTAAAAAAATCTCGTGGAGAAGAAGTTACCAATTTGAAGTTTGGTGGTGAAGTGGAACGAGTATCAGGTCTTGAGCAGCTTAGAACTGCAATATCTTCATCAGGTAATTAAAAATGTTGGAAAATGCTAACTTGTATCCTAAGGCACAAGTTAAGAAACCAAATGCAGAAAATTTACCTTGTAAATTGTGCATTAACTTTTTTAAAAAGTTAGGTTTGATTTTTTTTTTCAAAACAAAACCTTCTATTTTTTATTTTTTCGTATCTCCTAAATTGTTCCATGCATAACCCTCAAATGTTTAAAAAGGATTCTTCTGCAACTCATTTTACTCTATTTTTTTAAGTCTCCTGATATTATTATTTGTTAATTTTGCAGGTGTTTCTGTTGTCCATTTTGAAGCTGCATCAAATTCAAAATGCAGGCAAATATCGCCATTTTTGGATACATTATGTACCAAACATCCATCTGTTAACTTCCTCAAGGTAGTGATTTTGACTTTACGCGTGTTTGGATTTGCTGTTAGAATCACGGTGTGCCCTTTTGACTTTATCAGAAGTTACACTTTTTAGTTTAAAGAAAAATCATGATGCCGCAGTGATTTTGGCTTACCCGCTATGAATCCAAATAGAACGTATTGTTTACTTCAGTTTTGCTGTAAATGAGGGATACATAACTTGCCTAATGCGTGCATTTTTTTTTATTTTTATTTTTGATCATAGGTGGACATTCATGAAAACGCGGAAGTTGCAACTGTTGAGAATGTTAGAGTTGTACCAACCTTCAAGATATACAAAAATGGAAACCAAGTGAAGGTTATCGTGTGCCCTAGTCGCGATGTGTTGGAGCAGTCTGTCAAGCATTACAGCCTTTAGAATTCATCATGATTTGTAATACATCTCTCTTGTCATCTTCATTTTTCCTTCTCACGGTCCTCAAACCGCCACTTAAACTTTCAATCCCTACCGTTCTTTCAGTCTTTTGATCCCATCATAAAACAACCACCACCCGATTACCTGTGACATAGTAAAAAAAAACCAGACAATAATCTTGTTAGCATCATTGAATGCAGTTGGAACCTTAGAGATAAGTAGTCAAGTTCCTATTAGAGTTTTCATTTTATTCATTCATTCCTCATTGCTCTTTGGTTCCATATATGTTCCAATGTTTCTTCCCAACTCCCTTGATCAATTTTCTTGTATCCCCAGTTTATTTCTTTAAGGTGATGTTCTTAGAAAATGGTATTGTCTGTACAATTGATTTGACTATGAGTTTTTGAATTACATTTTAAGATAGAAAAATATATAGAAATATAGAGAAAGGGGAGGAGAAGGTGTTATGCTTAGTTAGAGAAGGATCTGTATTCCGAACATGTATATATGTGATGATATATACACTAGACAATGGGAGCCTTTGAGGGATGAGATAGGTAAAGTGGTGGCTGGGGTACCCCTAGCAAAAGGATGATGACAATGTTTTTGTTTCTTTCTGTCTTGGTCATTCAATCAATAAAAGTTCAGTTCCAATTTTTTCAATTTTTAGTATTTGCTTTCATGTACTTCTGTATGAAACTAAATAGATGTTTGGCAAAATCAAGCTACACTTTGTAGCTTCAAGATAATCGCGAAAATTCTGTCAAATTCATTGCGAATCCAAAGGCGCACACATATAGTAATGTAAATGAATAAATAAGCGATACAGTGTTGAGATGGAATTGTCAAATGTGCATTGGGCAGAGGTTGAAAGAGGCGTGACTGGGTCTTGGGATTGGAAATAAGTTGGTTATAGCATTTAAGTTGATGGCATTTTTATGGTAATGTTTGACATCTAAAAGCAAAGGGTACATGTGTTTATAAATGAAGGTTGGTTGTGTTTAATATTTGAGGAGAGCGGCGTGTTTATAAATGAAGGTTGGTTGTGTTTAATATTTGAGGAGAGTGGCGTGGTAGTGGTTGATACAATTCATAACTCCAACTTTTTGCACTGACGGTGGACCACTAAATCATGTACTTATAATAAGTTAATAACCCACCAAAAAGAAAAGAACTTGCAATTGTAATTAAGGTGCCTTTGTATAATTTCATTATCAAGATTTTGGGTGTATATGCCCAGTTATGTTACTAATTCTAGATGTGTGGTGTATAAATTATATAATGATAAAAATTTAATTTTAATACAACAAATATCTTACTATTTTATGAGCATTTAATAAGATGTTTACTTTCAAATGAGGGCACTTTGAAGTCACCTACTCTATAGACTCCAAAAGGTGGTGATGGTCGGGATTTTTTGACCTAGGTGCCCTACTTTGAAAACAATAATACCAAATTACCCTAGTTTGAAACGTATTTACGTGAGTGCCCCACTTTTGCATGAGTTCGTCCAAGAGAAGGACGAACCAGTGAATAGGTTGAAGGTGTTCGTCCATTGAATTGGCGAACTTGTAGGAGAAATTTTAGGAGTGTGAGTTCGCCCATTGAAAGGGCGAACTTGTGAGGGGTTTGTTTTTTTTTTTGTTTTTTAATTTTTTCAGATTTTTAAATAAATATATTTAATATTTTTAATTTCATTAATATTAAAAATATTTAATACTTCTATTTAAAATAATTAAAAATATATTTAAAATAATATTAATAATTATTCAATTTAATATATTATATTAAAATATAAACTATATTCAATTAATTAATTTAATATATTAATTTAATTATTCAATTTAATACTTCTATTTCAAATATATTATATTAAAATTATTTAATTAATTTAATATAAACTATTTTCAATTAATATAATTATTCTTATATGTAAATAATGTAATTTATTTTTTATAAAAACTATTAAAATAATTTAAGAAAAAAACTATTTAATTAAATTAATTTTTATACAAAATTTTTATGTTTCAAGTTAAATAATTTTTTCCATCATTAATGATATATATTTGAAGTATTAAATATTTTTAATATTAATGAAATTAAAAATATTAAATATATTTATTTAAAAATCTGAAAAAATTAAAAAACAAAAAAAAAACAAACCCCTCACAAGTTCGCCCTTTCAATGGGCGAACTCACACTCCTAAAATTTCTCCTACAAGTTCGCCAATTCAATGGACGAACACCTTCAACCTATTCACTGGTTCGTCCTTCTCTTGGACGAACTCATGCAAAAGTGGGGCACTCACGTAATTACGTTTCAAACTAGGGTAGTTTGGTATTATTGTTTTCAAAGTAGGGCACCTAGGTCAAAAAATCGATGGTCGGTGTTTGATGTGCCGCTATTTGCCGCTCTGTATGTGTTTAAGACACCTCCTCACCTAGGTGGGACCTAATATAGCTATCTAATTGCAATTCTTTGTGGACCTCTAGAAAGGTCTCTTGGCAACTCTTAATTTTTGTGATCAATCATCATCAGAATTAACTTGTTCTAAAGGTATTATACTTTTCACCTACCTTAGGCTCTATTTTCAAGGATCAATTTTTGTGTTAAGGTAGCAAATAGGACTATAACAAGGACTTTCCAAATACGTAGTAGTATAATAACTATTAAAATTTAGGTTTGGTGACAATGTTTAATTCAAAGGAAGCATAAAGTCAACTAAACTTGACTCAGTTTATAAACATTAAACTCATTTTATAAGACGAGTAAGCTCATAATATAACGACTGCTATGTAAGGTCATTCAATTTTGAACATTCATTTGAGATAAAAGAGCTTTGATCATACAGTCAATTTCATGCCGAGAAACTCTATTCAACTTTTATATATATATTCATATCAATGTAGCTATTAATTCTACATAAATTTATAGTTAAATATAAAATATATTCTAATAAGGTACAAAGAATATACACATATTTTAATACATATTAATCATAGAGCTATAGCAGAAGGTCCTCCGTAAAAAATATCATCTAGTAATTCCACATGCAATGTTTTGACACGAGAAATAAATATTCATATCAACGTGTTTAATATGTTGTTAAATATATTTACTTGATAGGTAAACAACCCTGATGTTATTACCATAGACCAAAGTGACCTTTATGGCAGGTTATCACTAGTGCTGAAATGACTTTTTACATTGGATCTTAGTCCGATATAAAGTCGGACGATTTAATAAATCAAAGACATTTTACATCGGATTTTAGTCCGATGTAAGAAATACACCAAGCAAATCGGTTAAAATTTTTAAGTATGATGTGAAAAAAAAATATAATTGTAAATTTTAATTATAAAAGGGTGTTTTTACATCGGTTGTAAGGCAAAACCGATGTAACAGGTGGACATTTTACATCGGTTGCGTGAAAAAACCGATGTAAAAAGTACTGTAGTAAACAAAAAAAAGTCATTTATGCTGACACTTTTTACATCGGTTCTCTTGTTGACCGATTTGAAAAGTTCTAGGTGACACTTTTAACATCGGTTATGTGGTTAAACCGATGTAAAAGGTAAACTTTTTACATCGGTTGTGTGGTTAACCCGATGTAAAAAGTACTGTAGTAAACAAAATAAAAAGTACTGTAGAAACACTTTTTACATCGGTTATTTCGTTCGCCCGATGTAAAATGTACTGTTACGAGTATAAATTATTTGCCTATTTTTTAGCCGTTCCCTGTAACTTTTTTGCTACCTAATTTTTCATATTTTTCCAACATCACACAGACCTTAATTAGGTCGCTATTTTCCATAGTTTCCCAACATCATATAGACCACATTTAGGCCGCTATTTTCATAGTTTTCCAACATCACATACACCATATTTAGGTCGTAATTTTCATATTTTTCTCACAAATCTAATTTCACTGCACCAAATATCTAGTATACACATAATTGATTTACAAAAGTAATAATATATGATATACACAAATGTACTAAATTATAAGGATGTTTGCACGATGGACCACTACAACAACAAAAAGCTTAACCTTTATATAACTCAAAGATTCATGTTGCCCAACAGAGTCACAAATCATACAAATCATCGTTTGTTAAGTTCGTTGGATCATCAAATACCTACAACACGTAAGTAACAATAGATTTATTCTTTGAAATTTCACATTAAGTTGCAAAACGTAAAGTAAATAACAAATTAAAGTCATTTTTATTACCTTCATCCAAGAATTGGTTATATTGGTAGAGACAATATCCAACATATTTTTCATCACATAATACCCACAATCATTAAATTAGGTTGTTTCCTTGTCTACAAATGAATGACATAATTAGTGAATACTGATATGATAAAATTAAATATATAATTATGATTTACACCACCCTTACATTAGATTGAAGCTATGTAGCATTTTTTTCTATTCCCATTTGCCGCTTGATGAACTCCAAAAACACAAATTCAGAAGAAAAAAATTCATATAAAGTCACATAACATATGATATCACTTTTGTAACAAATTATGTATATAGGATGAAGTGAACATAAAAGATAAACTTACCTTGTAACAATTTTCGTCATGGTTTGATTAAGTTCATGATGAAGTGAACAAAAGACGACCACCGTATTATCATTTGGACACGTGACTATTAATTGCCAATGGCCTCCGTACGTGTGTGTGGAAACACAAAAGTCACAATTTCATGTTACCAAAATTGAACTATATATGTTACCAAAATTAAAAAATAGCAAACATAATTTCATACAAACTTACACATGAATAAATGGTAGCAAGTGACACTCTCTCTTTTCGTCACGTAACTTATCTTGTATGCATTGTTTCACACTTGCTTGAGTTTTCGGCACATGATCAACGTACGAACACATAGAAGGGTCCATAAATCTGTATACTTCAGATTGTGAAGTATTAATACACAAACGATAAATATACCTGAATTTTTTTTTAAATTAACAATATAATAAAAGTG